TTCTGGCAAGGCTTCCTTGGCTAAGTCCGAGATCAGGTCACTTGATAAATTGGCTGGCTTCAATTTCCACCGATCGGATTATCAGTTAAACTGGTCGGCATTTCGTTCTGTTGATTGGATTACCAGTTAAACTGGTCGGATTGCAAGATTTGTTGGCTGACTCCAAGTTAAACTGCTCGGACTTGCTCAAGACGGTGTGGCTCAGCGGATACATGGCGCTCGTGGACTAGCTGTGGGGGGTATAACTCCAGTTACCCATGGTAATGGACATGGGCCGCACCGCCAGGGGAGGTCTAGCCCATAAGATCAAGGCCTACGGTGCCCAGTTCGGGTCGGCGTGCACTGCAAGGCAATTAGAAGACATCTTGACGATGAAGGAAGATGTTGGCCTAAACCGACTGGTAACCCTACCCCCAGACTATATAAGGCGGGTAGGGACCCTCTCGAATTCATCTCATATTCAATACAATCCAACAAAGACACATGACGTAAGGTATTACGTCAATCAGACGGCCCGAACCTGTCTAAATTGCTGTCTCTACGCCTTGTGTCACCATCCGGTTCCTATTACGCACACCTCCACCAATTCATCTACTACCATGGGTATACCCCTCGGTAGACTGTCGACCAAATTTCATCGATAGTATAACCTGGGGGACGCCGGTCCAAGCCGACACCCTCTGACATGCAGAGTGTCAGAACAGAGTAGCCAGACGACGCCTAGGCTTCTTCGGCTCTAAGACACCTCGACGGTCCATGGCGCACCTCTACAAGCCCCTCCTGGACTCCGACACACGTAGACCATAGACTAGAACCCCCAAACCGCCTTGTACTAGACCTATCTCATTATATAAGGGATAAAGTCGGACCTAGAGGGAGGAGGATCCGGACTCGATCACCAGACACTCTATTCCATTCTATCTGCCTCCACTCTGCTCCGAGAGCAAGGCAACTTAGAGAGGGGCACCGAGAGCCCCTCCTCCACCGCATCCCATCGTCTCCTTCCTCTCAGACAAGGGGGAGACTCTACCGACGACGAGGCAACCTTAGAATTAGCACCGAGCTAGGATGGCAAGAAACGCAGAATTTTTCCGCATATATGGAGCCAGGCCAGCGCACGCTCCTTGCATGGCATGCCCAGACAACGAACCAATCATGCAAATCTTGCATAAAGGCAACCTAGCTGAGCTAGAACTAGGGAACCAAACCCGCCAGAGCAACTCCAACAACTTGCTAAAATTAGTAGCTAAATTTTATCATTAGCCATTTTGTAAAATAGAAAACTTCAAAAAAGAAGAGATCCACCACAGTTTTGCTATTTTACAACATCAGACAACGAGCCTCCGTGGTTGGCTATATATGGCCACTAAAAATCAAGGATATAGATTCCTATTTTACAAAGCCAGATGGCGCCTATTGGAGCCTAAATTTTTATCCTCCACAATAAATAGCCAAGCTGTTAGAGTTGCTCATAGGCACGCAGGCACTGTCAACCTGAATGAACCCATAGTAGAAAAAAAACCCTGAATGAACCCATTCTGGGCTGGAGGTTTTTGTTGTTTGGACGACGAGCCCGATCGGTGCGTCTCGGCCCATGGGCTTCAGATGTCGTGTCCTGCGGTTTAGCTGGAGTAGTTGCTGTCCCCACCTCACCTCAGTTCCTCCCCAGCGCGCCGCCTGTCCTCGCCCTCGCCCTCGCCCTAGCGCCGCCGCTGCGCCGCCTTGTAGCGCACACCGTGCCATTCCTGCCTGGCGTGCCCTGGCGTCCCGCTGCGCCGCTTCCCAGCGCTGTGTACCATCGTCCAATCATCGCATATGCAGCACGTTGCCGGTCCATGCCCTCGCCCAAGCGCCAGTGCTGCGCCACCGCCTATCGCCTGCCGTTCCCAAACGAGCGCACTGCTCTCGGACGAGCCGCACAGGTGCCGTGGTCTTCCTCGTCGCCTGCAACTTTCTGAAACCTCTGAAGCTGCCCCGGTGAGTTAAGCCACTCTCTGGAACCTTTGAAACTCTATGCAACTCTCTCAAACTGCAAGGTCAAGCCACCGAATCCCCAAACAAATAAAAGCATGGCCCGTGAAACTCCAGTTCTTTTGAGACCACTGAATCCACAACTGTCAAATTTAAAAAAAGAGTTGAGCCGATGTCAGTTTTATGTTCATCTGAAAAGAGTTGAATTTTGTGACTACTGAATCCACCATTGTAAAATTTATGTTGTTCTAAAAAAATAGTTGAACAACTGTCAATTTTATGTTGATCTGAAAATAGTTGGAGCAAAACTGAATCCACCCATATCAGTTTTGTGCTTTTTTTTCTTCTGAACACTGAAGAACAGGATATATGTATTTGAATTAAAATTTGCCATTTTTGTGTAGTGTTCAAGTTTGAGCTCTGAATTTTATCAGCCACTGAACTTAATAGTTGAAGATAATTGTGAGGTCCATTTTGCTACACAATCCCTTGCTTTGATCACAGCCACACATGAAAAACTCAAGATCCCGCAGGTGACACAAGATAATAAACCCTGGTCTAAAAGGCCAGCAACACTGTTTATATCCCTGTCGCCACTGCTGGATGTTCAGCCAGACAAGTTTGCACAGTCATGTATGCACGTTGTAGGTGGGACTGTCTTTCCTGAGCAGACTGGCAATGAAATTTTCTCGAATATGCAGGAGTCTGGCAATGAAATTTACTAGAATTAGTTGTTGCCTTAACCTGTCACAGTTGGGCCCTCCATCACTCCAAAGCCCAGAAGTGCCAACAATAGGAGCACCCAGCCGAACAGAGAGAGATGTCAGGGGCAGAAGAAGCGTGCGGCACCTGGAAAAAGGAAGCCATCTTTCCCTTCCCCACCGCCGCCTCTATTTATCGCCGGCTGCTAGGGTTTTATGGTTGGAGCCACGACCCCAAGAACCATCGCCTCCACCCCCGAAGCCCTCTCATTGCGTGGCCGATCCTTCGCATCGCCGCCATCCCTGTCCTCTCTTCCCTTTCCATGTGACCTCCCTGACCCTCATGCCGCCTCCTTTCAACGAACCGACGCGCGGAATGGAGGGAGATCCATCGGCCCTGGTCCTCTCAGTAAGGAAGCCCCGATCAGACCTTCATCTGTTCTAATCCATGTTCGAGACTTCGATATTTATTCTAGGGAGAAGGGGGTTAAGTCACCATCTGATTAGTGAGAATGCGTAATTTATGACGCCCTCCACCATGGGCATCTGTGATACCTGATGAATTTGAATTAAAGGGGGCTGCGTATGCAGCGGGTGGCCACCCACCCCATCCTGTGCCTTATTGGGCTTGTTTTGTGGTTCTTAGGATTAGCATGCCATGCTCTTCTAATTAGTTCTAGATTGTGTGCAGAGTACTCATTTCGTGTTGCATTTGTTTACCTGCTTGTAAGTTAAGATCATTGGCGCTGGTTCGATTGCACTTTGTTGAAGTATTTTGTGTTACGTGACCTTGCAAATTGAACAAAAGGACTGCATTTGTTCAAATCTCCATTCTTGGTTACATATTCCCAGGGCTTCAGTTGTTCTGTCCGGGGATTGTTAAACAATTAACAGTTCTGTAGCCTTACAAGAATTGAAAAAAGGTACTGCATTTGTTCACATGTCCTATGTTACACATCCCAAATTGAGCAAAGTGATTGTTTGTTCAAATCCCCTTCCTTTGTTACATATTCTCAGTGTTTCAGTTGGTCCTTCTTCTTCTTCTTCCTTTTTTTTTGCGATTACACAGTATACCCACTCACAGCGCACGCACACTCACCCCCATGAACGCACGCACGCAAACCCTACCCCTATGAGCATCGTCGAAGATTGGGCCGGCAAATTCTCGAGATTGACGAAGTTACCACATGCGCCTTGCTGTCGACGGAAACATCGCCTACCACTAAAAGCACAAACGCAGTTAAATCCTAGAAAATTCGCTCCCATGGGAGTCCACCTAGGACCTGAGGTGCTACTGCGGCTCTTGTAACCACTAGACTATAGGCCCTTTCGTCGGCGTTTCGATTGGTCTGTCTGCTCATTATAACAATTAAGAGTTGTATAGCCTTAAGATTTGAAAAAAGGTGATGCATTCTGTCCAAATGTTCTATGTTATGTATTACAACGAGGCACAACAGGGTTTGTGCACTTGTTGAACATTTACAGGTTATGTAGCCTTGCAAACTGGAAGGGGGCTACATTTTATGAAGTGTCCTAGGTTTCATATTCCAGTGGCAGCAAGTGGGCTTAAAAGCTATGATGGTTTACCTTAATTATTAATCCTTAATATACAGAATACTAGTACGTAGCATTTATGCTGTTTTAGCTACCAAGTTGCCTTTGCATCGCATGCAACTTGTATTACCACTTAATCAACTTAGATAGCAGATGGCATGCTAAAGATTAAACTTTACATATTGTCAACCGAGTGATGGAACTTAGCTTCTTATTTTTATGTTTGTTCATCATTTGGTTGCACCGATTACTAATTAATTGTTGTATATTTTCTACTTCGAAAGATGTTGTTTTTCAACTTGGAACCAATTTGCTAAGTATTTGGCTAATTGACTTGTTAATTTCTGCAGGTTGTATCAGTTTATCTTGACTCAAGAGCTTTATTAATTAATAATTTGAAATCATTGACATATGGAGTCCCAGAAGAGTTGTCTTCTGATCACTTACTCCCAGGAGACTGTAGATGGAGTGCCTTTGTATGTTTCATCAAACTGCCTGCCTGTAAAAGCTTTGAAATATGAACCTGCTGGTCATTCGTTCCATGCTGCGGCAATGAAGCTTCTTGGTCTTGTGGAGCATGAAGAGATAGAAACTGATGATTGCAGCGTTTCATCGGATGACAAAAGCCAAGATTTTAACACTGGTTCTGATACCTTTAGCAACAAAGGGAAGAAGTCATCTGGCAGTCAACAGCAGGATCACTATGCATTACTTGGGTTGGGACACTAGAGGTTCTTGGCCACTGAAGATCAGATTCGGAAAAGTTACCGTGACATGGCTCTCAAACATCATCCAGATAAGCAGGATGCCCTGATTCTTGCGGAGACAACAGAGGCGGCAAAACAAGCAAAAAAGGATGAGATAGAGAGCCATTTCAAGGCCATCCAGGAGGCCTATGAAGTCCTCATAGACCCTACAAAGAGAAGGATTTATGACTCTACATATGAGTTTGATGATGATGTCCGAACAGACTGTGCCCCACAAGACTTCTTCAAGGTTTTCGGCCCAGCCTTCATGAGAAATGGAAGCTGGTCTGTTGCCCAGCCTATTCCTTCTCTTGGAGATGACACTACTCCTGTAGAGGAGGTTGATAAGTTCTACAATTTCTGGTACAACTTCAAGAGTTGGAGGGAATTTCCAGATGACGATGAGTATGATTTGCAGCAAGGTGAATCTCGTGAACATAAGAGATGGATGGAGAGGCAGAATGCAAAGCTACAAGAGAAGGCCAAAAAGGCGGAATATGCGCGAGTGCGCACACTTGTAGACAATGCTTATAAGAAAGACCCAAGGATCCAGAGGAGGAAAGAGGAGGAGAAAGCTGAGAAACAGAGAAGAAAGGAGGTGAAGTATTTGGCAAACCGGCCCAATCTATTGCTTTGCCTCTTTTGACCTGAGATGAAATTAGTTCCTCAACTGAGGGATCTGGGACTGCATCGTCAAAGTCTGCGGCACAACCTGTGAGTAGCCAAACAGCCAATGGGAAAGCAGTTGCTGATCCTATCCCAGATGGAGCACTATCCGTGTTAGATCCGGATGCTCCGGACATAGGCACAGTCCCGGCTCTAGTCCAAGCTTTGAAGGCTTTTCCCAAGGATGCAAGCCAAAGATGGGAGCGTGTGGCTGCTGCTATCCTTGGTAAAACTGTAGTCCAGTGCAAAAAAAAGGGTTGCGGCATTGAGAGAGAATTTCCGGAGCAAGAAAAGTGGGGAGTAGACTGAGCCACTAAGGCATTGCCTCACCAGTGTTTTCAGATCGGACGACTAATCGCGATTAATCGTGATTAGTCGTCCTTATCGTAACTAGGTGCTCGATAAGGGCCCTTGATTAGTTTAGACCAATTAGATACCTTATTGTCCGATAAGTTGTGACTAATCACGATTAGTCGTTCGATCAGACTAGCTGGACGACTAGTTGGGTAGGGAGATTTCGGCCTAGCTAAGGAATTCGACCCACCTTTAGCTGGCCCATTAGGGTAAGAAGAAGAGGAGTGAGTGGGCGACCTAGTGAAGGAGCTGCAGTCGCCGCACATTTCTAGCTCCCGCTCGACACATTTCTAGCTCCCGCTCTGGCTCTGCTCTCTCGCAGCCGTCGGCACCTCCGCCAGCGTCTCCTCCGCCTGCGGCCTACCTCTCTGACCTTCGCCCGCTCGTGTCTCCTCCCCTGTTGGGACCCAGTAGTTTCTCCCGCCTCTGAGGCTCTGTCGCTCTGAGCTCCTTCCTCGACGCCTGGAGGATGGACGCGGGAGGCCTCAAGCATCAAGATGAGCCACCACTCTTCCTCCTCTGAAGGTTATTGTCTATGTCTGCTACTCTGCTGCTGTGTATTGCCTGTTGTCACCAATTTGTGACACATTTGTGTGGCCGTGCCGCTTTGCAGAGGATGCTCGACGACGTGTAGTTGTTGAGGTAATTCTACCTGAGAATGAAGCTATCTCAGGAGGGTCTGTGTCGACAGAATATCGTCGGCAGTCCTCCGAGGGGTAACCCACAAAGGTAGATTGATCGGCAGAGGTGCGCGTAATCAAGAACAAAAAGGCAACAGGGACACAAGAGTTATACAGAATCGGGCCATCAGCATGATATAATACCCTACTCCTGTGGTCTGTTGGTTTGTATTGTCTATCGTATGATATTACGTGTGTTTTGAGGGGGTCCCCTACCCGTCTTATATAGCCGGGGGTAGGGTTACAAGTCGATTAGATCTAGGAGATAACCAGTAAGTAATAACAGATCACAGGAATCACGGAATCGAGCATATCCTAACAGATCTTGCAGTACACGCCGAGCAGTACCGTGCACCGTAAGTCTTTGTCTTGTGGGCTGGACCACCCCTGGCGGTGCAACCCATGTAGTCTGCTGTGGGTATTCGGGGTCGTACCCCCCACAGCTAGTCCTCGAGCGCCTTGTATCCGTTATGCAACGCCGTCTTGAGCTTGTCCGAGCAGGTGTAAACAAAGTCGAGCAGTCCGACTCATAGTTTGACCACTCTAATGAGTCGTTGAGCAGTTGTGGGCCACAACCGACTAGCTTAAATGTCCGGCCGAGCACGGGCTTACCCAAGTAAGGCTTGCCAGAAGGATGTAAGGAGCTCAAGATCAAAATCGAAAATTTCCTCGCTGTGAACCAAGTGTGCCCACTTAGAGTCCGACCACGAGAAAGGGAGATAATCAGCTTCAACTTTAGGAGGCACGGAGTCTTCCAGATTAAAGAAAACATGCTCACCGCAAGGTGAAGTGTGCCCACTTAGTCCCCGAGCCTGACAGTAGGTGACGTGATCACGTGGTGCCAGGGTCCAGAAAGTAGAAGAAAGACAGAAGACCAGCCGAGCAAGCAACCAGTCCACGGGCTGAGCCTTGAAATGAAAAGCGCACACTCACCGCAAGGTGAAGTGTGCCCACTTAGTCTCCGAGCCTGACAGTAGGTGACGTGGTCACGTGGTGCTAGGGCCAGAAACAACATTAACCAAAAAGTCCCCAGTATGGTGAAAAACAAAATCACAATGATGACATAGTCCTCGAGCCACAAGTAAAAATCTCAGATAAATTAAGAAGTGTCGATTACTCGAATCGTGGAGAAAAAACTGGAGTAATGACTGTACAGTAGAAATTGCTGAGCCTTGATAGCATTGCGGAGAGACCGGCGAATATTCGGTGTGCAGTACCGAGTTGCGTCAAAAAGTGGGCGATATGGGCCGTGGTTGCGCAGAGGCCTAGATAACGGCCCAACACGCTGCTTTGGTGAATTTGGAAGGGCGCAAATCAGCATGGTGCGGTTTTCCAAAACCCCTTAAATGCAAAAAATCGAGAGGGTGTCTTTATAACTGCATCGCCGCACTCCGCGCTCCCACCTTTGCCACTCCGCCACTTCGTCTTCCTCCTCTCCCTCGCACTCCCCCATTCGCATTCACACGCACTCCGCCGCTAGGGCTAAAAAGCTTGCGTAAAGGGAATAGTTTCGATCCAGATCTGAGGGATGACACCGAAGAGGGGAGGTGGTAACGCGAAGAAGGTGGCCACCATGGCGAGCTATGACAAGGAATGGGTACCATCACTCATGGGGGAGACAGAGCTCAATGAGATGGTGGAGGTGGGCATTCTTCCTGATCGTGCTATCGCCGGATGGCTTCCGGCCGACGGTGAGCCCTATCCGATGCCACAGACCGACGTACTCGTTGTCTTTGAAGATTATTTCTGGCATGGATTAGGACTTTCGATACTTCCTTTCTTGCGGGATCTGTTAGAGTATTGGGGAGTGAGCTTGTGTAATTTTCATCCGAACACTATTTTGCATATTTCTGTGTTTATTCACTTCTGCGAGGTCTATCTTGGCATTCTTCCCCATTTCAATCTCTTCCGACACTTTTTCTGGCTGAAGAAGAAAGGAGGGGGCGGTTCCAAAGTTGTCGGCGGTGTGTATCTGTAGCTCCGTGACGGGATGGCGGGTGAATACATTCCTATGCCGCTGAACACCTCGCTGAAGGGGTGGAATACCAGGTGGTTCTATATGAAGCAGAGTCATCCTACCATCCGATGCGATGTCGACCAGATTTCGGAGAATCAAAGGAGCTGGTCGGAGAAGCCGACCAGTGCCGATATGGAATAGGTGAAGGAGCTCCTCAAGCTAATAAGGGGCATGAAGATGAGCGGAGTGGTGGTGGCAGTGAACTTCATACCGCGCCGCGTCCAACCCTGTAAGGAGAGGGCCTACGCGGGCTTTGACTTCAAAGGAGATATCGATGGCACCTAGGAGAGGACGGGGAACCTGGCGAAGGAGGCTGTGTTGCACCGGGCCGCTAAACTATTTATTCCAAACGTGTCATACACCGTGCTGGGGCAGCCGAAACCCTTCAACTACACGAATCCACCTCCTCTGGTAAAAATCTCGACTATTGTTCCTGGTGCTTTTTATCCCGTGCCGGCGCTGAGGAGTGGATTGATTCGCTTGTGGAAAGATCCATTGGCAGGAATGGGCGGAGTACTTCTCGGACGTGCCGAGGAGCAATTGGCCAAAGGCCGTGGACACCAGGCTGACCACTCAACCAGAGGAAAGTGCCGTCAGCACCTCATCTGAATCCGGAGGCAGAGGTGCTGGTCAGAAGGAGAGTCCCCCCTCGGTATCAGAGAAAGTGTGGGGGAAAAGGGCGGCGAAAGATGAGGCGGCCCGAAAGAAGAGAAGAACGGCGGATGTAGCTCCCCGCAAGCCGGGCGGCATCTCATTTGGTGGCGATCGGACCGCTCGGATGCTGAGCGCGGTGATATTCGAGTGGTCGGACGACGACGAGGCTCCAGTAGCTCCTCCTCCGAGCACTGAGGCGTCATCGCGCAACACACGCGCGGTGGTGCAATCTAAGGGAGGGAAGGAGTCCCCGAGCAACAGGTAAAGAAGACGTCGATAGCGGGGGCCGCAAGACCTTCAGCCCAGGACACGCGGGTTGACCCCAAAGCATTGCTTGGGTGCTCGGGGAGGCAGCGTCGGTTTAGAACCGTCTACCGGGAAGCTGATATGTAAGTATCTTTGCCTTGGGATCGGTAGCTATCTAATTTTATAGTTGCGGTGACCGATGAGCTAATCTGATGTAGAACGGGGCGCACTGAGGATCTGAATCCTTCAGGTCAGATTGGCGAGCAGCCAGGGGCTGGTCCTAGGGTGGAGACATTGCGAACAGACTTCGTCCCAGAGTCCTCGGGCGCTCGTCGGTTTGCGGAGGATCCGACCACCGCTGCTGATGGAGTTGGAGATGGAGAGCGGTTGGCGACGATGGCGGGCGATTCGACAGAGACGCCAGGAGCAACAACGAAAGCCACTGAGTCTTCGAGGGCGGAGGCGGGAGCTATCGACGTTGTGCTGAAATCTGGGGCGCAGAGGCCGGTAGTGTCGAAGGAGCAAGCGACGTGCCCTGAGACGCCGCAGGGCATGGTCGGTCGCTTTGTGCGGCCACCGAGCCCCCAGGGAGCGCCACCGGCTATGGAGGAAGAAGACATGGTCGAGGAGATTGAGGGTTAAGGATCACGAACTCAAACCGTCCGCATCTTCCGCAAGTGAGGGGATGAAGTTGTGGTCGTGGAAGAGGAGGACACCACCAGGGAGGTGAAGAGGCTACGGTCCACCCTTTCCACAGCTATGAAGTAAATTGAGGTTAGTATTGCATCAACGGTGTCCGTCTTTGACGTTGGAGACTATGGTCCTTTATAATCTTGGTGCTTCGCAGGGCATAGCGTGAACTGTCGTACAACGGTAGCAGTTGATCAAAAGGATGCAACCCCTCGCTGAGGAGAATGAGAAGCTGAAGGAGGCGGTGAAATTGATGGAGAATAACGTGCAAAGGGCCCTGCACGAAAGGGATCTTGCTGAATCAAACGCGAGGGACCTGGAGTACCAAAAGGGCACCTT